CTGAAAACTTGATGAACACCTCTGACTGCTAACCGACAAATTCTGAACTGCTAACCCTTCGGCTTCCCAAACTATCAATGCCCAAAATAATATTTAGATCACAATAATCCAAAAGTCAACCCTAGTCAAACTTGGTCAAAGTCAACATCCAGTTGACCTGACTCGCCGAGTTGGCCTATTAACTCGTCGAGTCCATACTCCTCCAATCCCAAAACAACCATCGACTCAACTTGTCGAGTTTGGCAAGAACTTGACGGGTTCTCCTTCAACCATACTATCGGGACCACCTCCAACTGACTCACCGAGTTCATCCTTGAACTCGTCGAGTTCATCATCCACATATGAATGTGTCTAGCCTGTGACTCACCGAGTTGTATGAACAACTCATCGAGTCCATCTTCATAACTAAGGAGATTGCCTTAGAATCGCTGAGTTCTTTCTTGAACTCGTCGAGTACGATGAACTTCATGACCATTATGGACTCGGGCCGACTAAGTCCCTTTCCAAGCTCACTCATACCCTTAACAGAAGGGTTTTGGGGCAAGAACTGGCCTGACTCGCCGAGTCTCTCTATGTCCAACACTATTCAGACGATTTCAGACAAGCTCAAGGCATCCAAGACCTAGATTTGGCCTCCTAGGGTCGGGATATCACACAAAGCCACTCCCTTTGCACCCATGCATGGCCCTTTTTGCTCAAAAGGCCAAAACAACTCTTTAAACTTTTCATGGAGAGGTATAATGGCATAAAGCTTCCACCTTTATGCCTCTGCTACTCTGAACACCTCTAAATCTGGAAGGATCTAGCTTGGGGACGTCCAAATCCCACAAGACATCCTTCTTGGACCATAAAATCCATAAAAAGGGACATAAAGAGATCTATCAAACTAGAAGTCAAGGTGAGAACTTGATTACCAGAAAATGAAGATGATGAAGCAAACGTCCTGGATCTACAACTTTTTCCTTGGACCTTCAACCTCGTTCTTCTTCTTCTAGACTTTAAGAGCACTCTAAATCCTTCAATAAGGCTCACACACTCAAAGAGAACACTAGGGTTTCGTGGGACAGATTCTGGACAATGGAGGCTACAAATAAGGCTGATAGAATGAGAATAAGATGCTTAAATAGGGCACCAACTCCCGATTTAGGGTTTTCCCAAAACCTGGCCAACTCCCCGAGTCAGTCCTCTGACTCGTCGAGTAGGTCACTTAACCCGCGACCAAAATCACGCTCCTACTCGTCGAGTCACTCCCTTATCTTGAGGTTTTCTTTCCTTTATAGGTCTTCTGAATTCGGGGTGTTACAGTGTGCCTCCTAAGAGGCAAGTAGAGTTCCGGATTGATCTTATCCCTGGTGCGGCACCAATTTTCATATTTTTGTATCGTCTTGCACCTCCTAAAATGCAGGAGTTATCCTCTTAGCTTCAGGAGTTGTTAGGAAATGAGTTTATTCGACCGAGCAGTTCTCCATGGGGATGAGCACCGTTCTTTTTTGTCAAGAAGAATGATGGTTTACACTGGATGTGTATTCATTACCGGAAACTAAACAAGGTAACGGTGAAGAACCGTTATCCGTTATATAAGATCGATGATCTCTTCGATCGGTTACAAGGGGCATCTTGGTTTTCCGATATTGATCTGAGGTCTGGCTACCATCAGATAAGAGTGCGATAGGAGGATATTTAGAATACGGCCTTTCCAATTCGTTACGGGTATTACGAGTTTGTGGTGATGCCTTTTGCACTCACCAATGCACCGACAACGTTCATGAATCTCATGAACCGAGTGTGAGTTCTATCTGTCATCAGTGACAGGTGAGTTTCCTCACTTATTCTTACTTGTGTGGTTGAATAGTTGTTTGTATATACATATGATGACCAGTTGGGTCTAAATATTATTACTGTGAATGTGTTGTTATAAGTGTTGAGATTTCGAGTAGTTTTTAGGGTTGCTGATAACCCACAGGGATTGTTGTTTTCCCATTGAGACTTCGGGTAGTCTCTAGGGTTGCTAATAACCCATAACTTTTTTATGTGTTGTGTTGTGTGTGATATCTTGGGGAACTCACCAAGCTTTGTTCTTACATTTGTTAATTAAATGTGTTTCAGGTACTTCTGAGGATCACAGGAAAGCGAATGACTGATTGTACACATTCGTTTGGAGATTTTGTTACCGGATATTTTGGGACACCTTGATAATTTGATGTGGAAATTGTATTTGATATTATGATTTTTTATGAGATGGTTATTATGAAAACTATTTTTTTTGTTTGTTTAAAAATGAAAATTTTGGTTTACAAATATGATCGATACAGATATATATATATATATATATATATATATATATATATATATATATATATATATATATATATATATATATAAGGTTACTATATACGAGATCATCATATTTTGTGAGATATAGGGACATAATCCTAGCCATTCATTTTGAATAAAAAAGCAAAATAAATAAAAGTTTTCGTATTTTTTAAAATATTATTTTCGTCATTTATATTACCCAAAAAAAATTAAAAATTAAAATAATATTACCGTTTTTTTCAAAATATACGTGAAATATTCTAACAGAATATTATATTGTAAATATTCAAATCGAAGTTTTTGAATGTTAGAATATGTTGGATTAACCTCTAAGTCCATAACTATTTTGGTATCTACTTGATCCGATTATGAGCATGATCCTTTTGGGTTGCCTTCACCATAGCAATATGTAGGATGAATTAAGGAGAGAAAGGTTTAATTATGATTTATTAATATATTATAAGAAAAATATATTAAAAGAGAAATCATAATGTTTAAGCAATATTAGTCAAGAATTAATTTTGTGGTTAAAAGAGATTAATTAAACTTAGGGGACTATAATTGTAATTATAAGATAATTGCAATTGGGCTATGGATCACCTTGGAATAATAGGTTGGACGAATAATATGCGGAAGCCCATTAGAAATCATCCAAGGTATGTTCCAAAAAGGGTCCATGGGCTGCTTAGGGCTTAAGCAGTCAAATTAGGGTTTCCTTGTTTGATAACCCTAATAGCCTAAGTATATAAGGAACCCTTGAGCACCAAAAACGTGGCTAACACTTCCTTTAGGGTTTCCAGCCGTTTTTGGTGCCTCCTCTCTCCCCCCTCTTCATCCAAGTTACTTAGTGGTGTTTGTGACTCCATTAGAGGTGCAGTACTTGAGTCACTAAGCTTTCTGAAGCCAAGGATTGATTGTTATTGTTATATAACAATCAAAGGTAAGATCTAAACCCTATTTTATGTTAATAGGATTATTTGTATGCTAGATCTAGGTTTATAGCTTTGGATATTCAATTGCATGTTCATTAGACAAACTAGATCCAAAAGTTATTAGGGTTTGCATATACACCATAGGAATTATGTTTTGCTCAAAAACCCATCAGAATATTCTACTAGATATATTAAACTATAAATATTCAAAAATTCTAATAAAATATTAGATATTCTAACAAATGTAACAATTCTAGTAGAATATTAGAATATTTTAATATATCTACCAATTTTAGTAGAATATTAGAATATTCTAACATTCTAAAAATTCGATTTTATTATTTATAGTGTAATATTTTATTAGAACATTTCACATATATTTCGAAAAAATGATAATTTCTTTTTTTTATTTTTTTTGGATATATTAAAAAATGAATTTTTGGATTTTTCTTTTTGTTTTGCATTTTATAATTTACTTTTTTTTTATCTTCAAGATGAGTGGCTAGGATCGTATCTTCATATCTCACAAAATTAGCACGGTCTCAAATAAACATATATATATATATATATATATATATATATATATATATATATATATATATATATCACAGAAAGATGGAAGGGGTGGCTAGTAGCCCCTTCACTATGACGAGGACACCCGCTAGCATCGTCACCAAAGACTGCATGTTGGTCCTTGTGCACTGAGTGTTTATCTTAGCTCACAACACTAAGTGTGGCACATACATAACATTTGGCCTAAGACGAGACAGTATACCCCCATCGAACCATAAGGTGTGTTGAGGTGGCACTACAGGGAGGTTGGGGAACACCACACCATCTGATGTGATGATCTTGGATGACCTTTACTACAAGTCACAAAATTGCCACACTTTTTTTCTTATTCTCTTTTGATTTCATGCTTTGATGCTTGAAAGAGTATAATATGTTATTGCATCATATTTATTAAAAGAGAATATAATAAGTGTGGAGAAAAATAAGAGAAAAATAAAGTAGTTGAGTTGCAATTAACAAATTGTTTTTGATTAATAATAATAATGATAAAGTCTAAAGAAAAAGAAAAAAAAAACTTGCTTAGTTTATTTTTGTTTTTTAATAAATTTAGAATTTTAACTTATTGTTCAGAATTTATATCGAGTTGATTTAAATATATTCTAATAAATAAATAAAATTTATTACATCTCATATCTTTTATTTATCTTGTCGCGTGTCATTTTATAAATATTATAAATTAATTTTTTTTATTTTATTTTATTAAATTTCACATAGTATTTATATATAATAATAAATAGGTATCAATTTAATTAATGCCAACTTTACGTTTACGTTTGAAACTTTTAAATTTAATCTTAATTTTTTATTTATTTAAATTATTTGTTTAAACTTAAAAGACAATAACCATTTTAATTTTAAATTTTCAATATTTTTTTTTATTTTTTTATAAATTCAAACTTTCGATGTATTTAGACTTTTATATTTTTTATTTGTTTTAATAAATAATATAAGATAGCAAGTATATAAAATATAAAGTGAAATTGTAAACTTAAACTCCTTAAAAAATGTTCATACAAACTTAATTAATATTTAATGTCACCGTCCATATACTAATCTTTTCACACATTTATGTTGTTGATTGTCAATCGTAAATATTGAAGAAGGAATCATTTTATCAAATAGTTTTTAGCCTAACAGTTGAAAATATATTAAATTTGAAAAAAATAAATAAATAAATAAACTGCTGCATCCCCTAGACACCATAAAATATATAACAGAACATTGAGGTTCGAGTACTCTATGATTTCCATATCGAGCATTTAATTAATTACCAACTCCATAAACGTAAATTTACACTCAATTAGCGGTTTAAATCAATGACCTTAATACAAAACATATAACTAATATAATCACTTCTTACAAAACTTCAACAACAGATGCATAAAAGTTGGGCACCATGGGCAACTTATGATCAAGATCCATAGTCAACATTGATGCCTTAGCCCGAGTCTTCACAGGGCATGAGATCAAATAACTATCAATCGTCTTCGCCAATGGTTTGGTCAAACTCATGCATGTTGTCCGGTCAACGACTCTAAGCCACTTAGCTTCCACATATCTTTGCTTCCTCCATGGACCCAAATGCATCTTCTTTTCCTTCATGCATCGTTTTGCTGCATTACTCAGTATTTTAATCACAGTTTGTAGTCTTTCGATTTTGCCAACGAATATATCTGGGAGTTTGGATACGAGTTCATTGTACTCCTCACTTCCTTTTTTCATCTCAAACTGACCACGAAATTCTAATTCGATAATCACTCTCACATCTCCTTTCTTGCTATTGGAGTTATCGATTACGTCTACAAACGTGTGTTCACCTATATCACATATAAATAACACGACTATTTAGCAAACGTATCGTGTATAAATTGACATAAATGGCTCTTTCTTAGAAGATATTATAAACATCGAAAATGATTGATTCTGACGTTCTATGTTTAATTTTAGTCAATTAATTAATTAATCACCTGAAGGAATTTCTAAGGAGCTTTTCCATTTAGACTTGCAGATAGCCGAATTGTAGCCGGAATTCTGGAGCCGGCGGCAGACTTCTGTCATCCTGCAACTCCGGCAACTGCCGGAAATTGGTCTTGAGCAAGAACATACACTGTCAACCACCTCGAGTTCCCCTACTACTTCCTTCGTTATAATTCGTATTTTTGATTCTAAACTCGTCGTCCTGAATAATGTTGCCTGTAAAAAACGAAAATTGTTAGAATTCAGAAAATTTAACCGTTGGGAATTAAATACAAAAATCTTGATAACTTACATGTAAATTTTGATGTTGGGTCTCCCAAAATTTAATCTTGTCTTCGGTTCTTTCTGGGTTTTGGGTCTCATCGTCGTCTTCGATTTCGTGCTGGATTCCGGTATACTCGTCAGTCTCCGGCGACGATAACATGGTGTTTTCTTGCTCGAGAAACCCAAAGATTGAACCGGACAATAGGACGGCGGGTTGATCGCCGGCCGGGTTATCTCCGGCACCGTACTTGTGACTTGGCGACAGGACTCGATGGCTCATTGGAAATCTGGTGGTGGCACCTCCCATGGACCTACTTTTCCTACGTTTATTTTCTTTGTTTCTGAATAATGGTTTTTGTTGCGATGAATTTAATGGAGAAAAATGGTGGTTATATATTACAGGGGTGAAGGTCAGGGTGATTAAGTGCCACGTGATTTGTTGCTGTTTGTTCGTTCTCAAATTTGGATCCACGTCAATATTGAGTCAGTAATTATTATAGATATATTCGAATATTCCTGTATTTTTTTATTTTTTTTTAATTTACTAAAGTCACCTTCGTCTTTGGAAAATTGTAACATACCCCTTGGCAAGAAAGATTGATTATTCGGGATTTATTTTTGCAGATCACCAATCCACCCGACACCCGTGATACAAATGATTTGGATCCATTTGATGTGAATTACCTGATTTATATACGTGACATATTAATAACTTGGATTTTTGACATATTAATAACTTGGATTTTTGATAATTGCAACTGATTAGTAACATACTAATGATAAATTATCGACAGATTAAATATGTGTGCTCATTTACAACGCGGGTTATGTGCAATCACACACCTGATACCTCATCAGAGTCACCCCTACTAGAGTGGATTAAAATACATACAGTCGTACACCCATAATAGAGTTGTTAAACTTTTCTAATTTATTTTCATCAAGAAACATAATTGAATAACTCCGATATCAAATGGATAGACGAATTATTTGACAAAAAATGAGCATAAACTTATTTACTAGAGGTGTTTGAAATGGAAAACTAGTTTTGACTCAATAGAAAATCATTAATATGGATCAAGTTGAGTTGGTTGCTTTAACATTTTGTTAGCTTTTTATTAGTCTATTAAATATAACTACAAAGCTATAATATTAGAATAATAATAGTATTTTCATTAAAAATATTATTTTGGATCTTATAAATATTTTAATCGATCCTATTAGATCCATTTCAATAAAATTGATACTACATATTTGAATTTATCTTTTTGACCACTCAAGATAGAATATATCATAGCTTTTGTCATGTTCTTGAGAAACTTTAACTGGTTTTTTGATATGTGTTTAAAATTATTTTATGTCTACAAATCTACAAGTTTGAATTCCAAAGTGAATTGCAAAACGATTATATTTTCCGGAATTTAATGACCACTTTTTAGAAGTAGAGGACTAATATGGGAAATAATACAGATTATAGGAGGCTCCATTAACTTTCCAAATTTACTTTCCCAAACATCCTACCTCCAGATAATACTACTCACTACTACCAAACATACTACATCCATATAGCAGTTTAGTAAAACTAGTAAACAAAGCATCACAACTTGTACTTTTTCCTGAATTTAGTAAAAACCTTTCTGACAATAGTGTGTGTATAAGACAGTATACAGGTATATAAAAGTATATTCGAATTTTGTCGTATGATCCGGTGAGACTCCTCGTGCTGTGGGGCCCATGAGACAGCCTAGATGAGGAACGTCGGGTAATCTAGACCGTGGATTGGGGAAATAATTTGATGAGGTTGGGCCCATGGTAGTATTGCATGTACCCTATCTAATTGCCTTGTAGACAAGTACTTTCACGAAACCGGGAATGGATTTAATACGCGGCGTAAAGCCAATGGGTTGGAATTTGGAGATGATTAGGCAATAATGCCCTTGACATTGGTTGGTGACGAGGGTATATTTGTCATTTCAGTTTTAATATGATTTCTTTCAATAATTTTGAGCATAAAGGGCATGAAGACAAATATTATCATGTTCTTTGTATTGTTTAAGGGAAATAATGTTTTCGGAATGTGATTAATTTATGTAAAGGATTTGGATAAAGATCACCGCATATATAAAAACATGTGTTTTTTTTATATTTTTAGGTAAATATTAAAAAAACCAAAATACCATTATAGTTTGTGAAGTTTTTTTTTATTAATGATTATACTTTTTGTATTTTATGGTTTTTAATAAATATAATATAATGATATAATAACTAATTTCATTAATCATTTTTCCAACAATGGTAATCATTATTTAAAATGATAATATATTTTTTTTTATTTGTATATATTGGGTTAATGAGTTTTATTTCGTCCACATTAATTCCTTCAACTTACATAACTCTAGGTTTACTTCAGGTAACTCGAAAAAAAATGATTTAATAGGGTAATATATTTCTCAATTTATACACATTTAGTCCATAACATATTTTTTTGCACATTTAATCTTTAATATTTTTTTTTTTTTTTTTTTTTTTTGCAAAAAGAAATCCTTATTTTACTACACATTTAGTATTTATGACACGTTTGTTTAGGTTTTTCTCATAGAATTCTATGTGGTACAATCATCAGAGTTGTTGATGTTTTGGGCCACTATGACTTGACTTCGATTGTTTGGATGTTTAGGGCTTGTGGTTTGGTTTAGGTCTTGTGTTGAACGTCGTAACTTCTTCATACGATTTCGGATTTTAACTATCCTTATATCCACGCATTCGTATTTGAACCTACTACAACTTTCGTTTAGATTATTCCCGTTAAAAAGTAATATATTTTTACTTACGATTTTTATATTCATGCGGTCTTTATGTATGTATGTATGTATGAACATTTTTTTCTAAACTTGTAAGTAAAAATATATTACTTTTTAAAATGATTAATCTTAATGAAAATTGTAGTAGACTTAAATACGAACGTGTGGATATAAGGATCGTTAAAATCTGTAATTGTACGAAAAAGTTACCACGTTGAGAAGACAACATCTAAGCAAACTACAAGACCTAAGCAACCAAGCAGCCGAGGCTACGGTGGTCATAAGCATTAACAGTTCCGAACATCTTACTAATGATTATACCATGTAGGCTATCATGAGAAAAACCTAAAGAAATCAGTTACAAGCTATGCAGTTATCGCGGTCAAAATTTCAATAGCCGTCACAAGCTACTATTTGAAATTGTGATTATCAAGGTGGTATATGGTATAGCGGTTTTGTAATATTACCTATAATTGATGATTTTATACTATATATTCATATAGAATTTATATATTAGAGTATTAATATTATATATTACATAAACATATATCATATATGGACACAAATTAAGAATTTAAAATCATAACTTCATAAATTCACTAATTTATGTTCCTAAAGGTTGAATCACATATTCACAGTAAGTGGTTGATTGTTTCTATGTTTCATAAATTCACAAATTGTATTGTTTGTTTTATAAATTATCAAATTAACGAGTTCATAAGTGTGAAACATTGAAATATAAACATTTTGCATTAAATAATTAAAGGAAACATCACATTTAACATTCAACATAGATTCACAGTGGGTGATTGACGCATTTGACAGTCATGGGTTTATAAGTGTGGACTGTGAAGTATTGTATGTCGCAGTGTGTATAGAAAGGAAAGGAATAAAGGAAATGACACATACCTGGTACTATGGATGTTATTCGAGTCAAAACTAGACCGAACCGACCCGAACCCGAATAACCTGAACATCGAAAAATGGTAATTGCATGAACCGAAAACCGAATCAATTAACTAATACAGGTCCGGTTCGGGTATTAATCATTTCGGTTCGGTGGTTACCCGAATAACATGTATAAGATGTTAAGGACCTAATATAACCCAAAAAACCCAAATAAATTGTATTAGGATTCTATAACCCGAATAATATAATAAGAATATGCTTTTATACATCAATGTAAAACATTCAAAGACTAACATCAGACAATAACACATTGAAAGAATAGCATTTACATGGTAGATTAACATAATGGGAATTAATTTCTTACTTGAGTTTCTTGAGTTGACGCCTAATTTTCCATGACTAGACAAGTAGGAATTCGTGAATCCTTAGAGACAACAACAATGGTTGATTTTTGAAAGTCTGAATCAAAAGGAAGGATCGACATAAGTGTGATATCCCCAATTTCGCGGCCAGAAAAGACCGATTTGTTTGTGCTTTGTTTTAAAATCAGAGTAATCCTTTTTAAGGAAAACAGTTGCGGAAATTGTCCCAAAAATAAAATATGATAAAATTTATCAAAACGTTTCTCAAGAGAATGTATTTTCATTAAATAATAAAACCTCAGGATGTCATGTTCCGATACAGACCAAAAGTATAAACAATATAAAATAGACCCCACAACAATTATTTATAACTACTGATCTATAATACAAAATCTTTCGTCAGGTCCACCAACTTATACTCTTGTGCTATTACCTGTAATGCAAAGAAAACTGAGTAGGTCAGGCTTGGGAGCCTGGTGAGCATATAGGGTTTTCAACCCACAATAATACATTTATTATATTCAATTATCAAACAATCAACCCAAATACTCATCCCCATTATCCTCTTTATTTCTTAAGGTTTTACCCTAAGAATCAACTATCATTTATCCATTCATTCCTAAGGATTGACCTAAGGAATCTGTAACATCCGGATTCCCAGGTATATTATTTATTCATTTATTTTGGAGTTTATGGAGGGACTCGGCGAGTTGGTGCTTAGACTCGCCGAGTAGGGTCGCGGATTCTCATCCGGGTTCATGAGTGGACTCGGCGAGTCCATGCTGTTTAATGAAACCCTAATTTCCAGGGTTTGGGACCTATTTAAAGGACCTTAGGGCCGTCATTTGCAACTACCAAACCTCAGAGAGAAACCCTAAAAGAGCTAGAGCGATTGTGAGAAGAAACGAGCCATTTCTTGATCTTTGTGGTTGATTCTTGCAAGAAGGATGTGTTTCCAGCTTAGAGGAGACCAAGAAGGTGGTGCATCTGTGGATTTCGAGCTAAAGACTTCATCTTTGAGGTATTATATCGCCCCTTTATCTATTGTGTTGAAGGAATCCATAGATGTAGAGTTTTCATGTCCTTTAATGGAAGAAATTGTGAGAACATGGCCCTTATTCACTTTGAGATTGCGGATCTGGACCCATAGTGGTCGAAAGAGCTTATCTCAGTTTGCTTTATGTTGAACTGTAGAGGTGTTGAGCTGAGGATGTTATTTTTGGGGCTAAATCACCAAGTGAAATCTTCTAGACGTCCCATAAGTGTCAAGATTCGAGCTTTACGTGTTTATTAGGCTTGGGAAGGTCAGATCTATGGACCAAAGGAACATATCTGACCTCAGGAGATCAGTTGAGTTTG